TTATCATAAATGGGTGTTGAATTTTGTCAAAAGCTTTCTCTGCATCTATTGAGATGATAAAAAAAAAAAAAAAAAAAAAAAAAAATATATAGATAGATAGATAGATAGATAGATACATATATAAATACATAATCTAGAGTGCCGGAGATTTGGCAAATGGACTTCAGTATAGGCATTTGAAAATTAATCCAAATATATTACCTATTATCTTTCTTTTTCCATTATAATGGGAGATAGTAACATGGGAATCGTTATGTATTATTCCCTGAAAGTTGGTGTAACCTGCATTTCCAAAGGCCAGTAAGATGCTGGCCATCACAGAAAGTGGGTTGGAAATGAAAAAGGCTAAGAAAGTTCAGTTTCTCATTAGAGGCCAAAATAGCTTGACTGGCATCATACAGAACACACACAACACCTAAAATACGGGTAGTTTTTGACAAACAGTATCAGTAAACTGAGATGCTGCCATATGAGAGAAGATGGAAAAGGTTCAGAAAGAAATGTAACAGACTTTTAGAAAATCATAAAAGACTACGGAGTCTAGCAAAACCAAGGCCTACTTTTTAATGCTTGGCAAGCAAAATTAAAGAAGCAGTAAATAAAAAGAAGCAGTACTCTCTTGGGGACAGAAGTACCAGCAAAGCATAAAAATAAATTCAAAATGATGTGAATGAGCTCATAATTGCCAAAGCCATTATGGGTTTGGAGATAAATTTCTGATCCTTAAAGACTAGTGTCAGACAAGTCAGCCAGTTCCTGTGCCTCAGATAAAGAAGCCTGAGCTTTCTGTGTCTCAGAAGGGCAATCTTTATGTGAGGGATAACTTTTGAAGACTTTTGTACATTACCAGGCCCGACAGAGGCTAGTTCCCATTCCACAAGACAGACAGACAGTATCAGGAAAGAAAACAAAGCAACAAAATGAAGACTGGGTGGCAGCCAAAGGAGAAAGCTTAATGGTGAGCCTGGGTCAAGAGACTTCCTTTGAGAGGACACTGAGTTGAAGTCACAGAGAGTGATGAGCAGAGATGCTAGACGATTCTTCTTTCCTCGAAGATCCTACAGTATGTAAAGATTTGTATGATATGCTGTTATAGCCTAGTTGATTAATCAATCAGATGTAATTGAACACTTGCCATATGACACAACTGTAGGCCTTATTTGGACGATATTCCCGTAAGTTGACTAGGGTTGTTAACCCCCGAGGTATTTGCAGATATATTTGAACGACATGGCAGGGGTTACTTGTATCCAGTATGAAGAAAAGATTCAAATATGTCCTTGCGCTGAGCACCAAAGGAGGAGGGTCTTGTTCTTTATTAATGAGATGATGGCAAGGTGTCCTTTTGAGGAGTAAAATAGAATATGGATTACAGAAAGCATAGTGAGTGTGTAATGTGAGGAAAGCAAACGAGGAAAGAATTTAAGCGTTTGTATGGGTGCCACCTAGGGACAGTAATATGATTAAAGGAAAGGTGCTAACA